TATATATATATATATATATATATATATATATATATATATTTATAAAATACCACAAATATTGATAAATGGATGTTGAGGTAATTAATAAATTACAGTTCTTAGTTGGCTTAATATAGACGTCGATATAGATATATTGTATATAGATTTGCTATTGCATGACGCCCTACTATAAAGACAAAACTATATAATGTGTTCCGGAAATTAATGCGAAATAAAAATCCTAATAACAAATATAAAATCGTAATGTCGTAAAGCATATTGCTTTTATCACTATTTCCAATATTTTATATACAATTGCAGGTATATGCTTTCAGTTAGGATTCCGATCAATCATAATCCATTAGACATTAACTACCCAGATAGCCAAACCTGTGCGAGCAGATTTTACGCAGAGTCTGTCAACAGTGTGTGCTGACAGAATGGCAAGAAACTGCACACAGAAACTGTTTTAGCAGTCTCTAACGACAGATTGGTGACAGACTGCGCGCAGAGCCTGTCGACAGACTCTGACGACAGACTGACAGCAGATTGCGCGCAGATTCTGTTTTCTAGATAGGCTATTTAATTCTATCAAGGGCCATATGTACGTTATTAAATGGGACAGTTTCACATACACACCATGTAAAACTGCTGCAGAGGAGTTAAGATAATTATATTGTGCAATAATTGTACACATATACAATAAAAAACAATGTTTACATTTTAAAATTGTATTATACATTTTTTATAAAAAAGCAACAATAATAGAGAAATAACGAGTACAAGTATAAAATAGTACAACGATTAAATGGCCATTTAAAGGCGTACATATGTCATCCCTGATAAAAATTGTTTTTATAATTTTTCATACAATTTCTCATCTTATTATTTTTTTTAATGTTGTTATGTCATTAAATCTGCACGATTTAACCGTCATGCAATAAGTACTGAAGGCAGCAGCACCGAATAAAATATTAGTCTCGCTATGTAAATAACTTTTACAGAATTTTTTTGATGGTTTATTTAAAAATATATCATGCTTCGATTTTGATAAAACTTAATACAATCTGAACGGGACGATCGACCAAATTAATTCGCACATGTAAAAGTACAGTATTTTATTAACATGATGGAAAAATGTCATTATCTACTGTTTTATTGCAGTAATTTGCTATACAGTCCTTGGTAAAAAATTAATTTCGAATTATCGTGCCGGTCTCTCTTACATTATTTATACGCTAAACGGTTTCGTCTATATTTTGCGGTTTAAAAAGCGAACAAATTATAAGATTTTTCTTCCTTAAACTTTAAGTGGGCAATACAAAGCGCTTTTTATCAAGTGAGGAATTGACGTAGTGTCTAAGGCGACGTAAGATTATCCAAAAGATGTCTTCAGTTCAAGTTTGAATCTCACCAGAGAAAATCTTAAAAATGATGAAAAAATAATATAGAAAAACTTTTTTTTCATAGTATTATAATATATGAGTATTTATGAGAAAGCGCTTATTCTATGAGTAATTATGAAAAATCATGAGAAAATTTAATTGAAGAACCTAGGAAACGACAGAATCTGCGCGCAATCTGTCGTCAGAGTCTGTTCGCAGATCCTGTCAACAGTCTGGCGGCAGATTGAGGACGCAGATGTCTATGGATCTGTCGACAGATCCTGCTCGGATTCGACAGATCCTGTCGACAGTCTGACGTCAGTCTGCGCGCAGATTGCTTACTGGGTATTAAATGTAATTCTTTTATATATTTAACTTGTAAATTAGTTGATGAAGAGTAGACCTTTTAAACAATTTTTTTCCTTTTTGAAACAACTCACATGGTATCCGTGTCTTAACTTTTACAATATTTCCGCATCCAAAGAATATCTAACATATGTAATTAAAATATTAGGTAATGGTTTTGCGATATTGCAGATATTATAATATTTCAACTTTCTTAAATATTATATTTTTCACTATCTCTAGTAATTATGTAAATTATGTATACAAAAGGTAGACCAAGGATTTCAAAGGAAGGCATGTATCAAGGCAAATATTATGTACATATTATTCGAATATTTTTTTTTATATTTTAGAGATATATATTTGCGCCGTATTTTCAAAATCTATATAATTAAATTGTTTCTTCCATAGTAAAATGACACTAAAATGCCATTTTTATAGTTTTCTATGGTTGTAATGTATTCGTTTATTATTATCAGTATTCTTTAAGCAAAAACAGTGACAAGTACAATGTCTACAAATGAACATAAAACATATTTTAAAACAGACATGTTCTGTTCTGCTTTTATTACTGAATGTGTGTACCCTTACGGGAAAAACCATAAGAAGAAACTACTGAGAACAATATAGGAAAACTGTTGAAGCACTATTGAAAAATATTGAAATACTACTATATACATATTACAACACTATTGGAAAACTATAGAAACTTATTAATTTTATAAATAAGTTTAATATAAGTTTTTAATAGTTAAAACAGTAGTATTTTCGTTAATCGACAAAAATACTACTGTTCTCAATAGTTTTCTTATTATATTTTTTCGTAAGTGTACATGAGTGTACGCACATTATGTGCAATACAGTTGTAGAAGTATGAAAATGCTCCGGATACTACGCTTATTGTGATATTTGATACGTAAAAGAAGTTATTCGGTCATATTTGGTACAAAATTCTACAGCTGACTTTCTATTAAAACGAGGCGATTTGTTACATTTATTTAGCGGTTATATATTAGTTATTTCGGTAAAAAATTGTATCCGGAGCATTTTATAAGTATGTAGAATAAATTGCAAGCATCATTTTAATGATGTATCTTTTCATTTAGAAATTTGTAGGAATTGTGGACACGGTTTCTTCATTTTTGACATCATCAATCCAATAGAGCCACAGTGACTGAAGAGTCTTAAAGAAAAATTTTTCAAAGAAGATATTGAAAACGTTTTACCATTAAAATAAAAAATTGTGTAATTATTTAAAATATTAAAAACTGGGAATACACTACAATCCGTTAGTCCATTTTTGACTCGTCGAGTAGAACTATATATGCGGCGACGAAAAGAAGAATTTTAACAATTATACTACAAAGTATTCCACATTCCACAAATACATATGCTCCACGAATGCATGTATCGGGTGAGTCAGTAACTATTGTCATTTGGAACTTCTTCGAAATCAAGTTGGCTTTCAAATCGAAGTTAGAGAAATCTTATCTAGAGAAAAAGTGTCTTATGATGATAAAGTTTTTTCTAAACAGAATAATTTCGCAGACCTCTCTCTCTCTCCCTCCCTCCCTCTCTCTCTCTCTCTCTCTCTCTCTCTCTCTCTCTTTCTCTTGGGGAATTTTATATATTTTTCTTTTAAATTATACACAAATATTCTACAAAAGATATGCTATTATAAAAGGGAAGTTATTAAAATAAACTATTGGGAGTGTGAATAAGTTCTCGCCGTTTTTTGTGAAAATAAATCCTTTATTTAAAAAAAATAATAAAAAAACAAGTCAATTAAAGTATTGCCCATCGCTGGAGACTACTTTTTCCCATCTTTCTGGCAGCATTTGAATTCCACGTCGAAAAAACGACACTTCTTTTGCGGCTATCCACGAATCGATCCATTTTTTCGTTTCTTCATACGAAGTGAAGTGCTGCTCAGCCAGGTCGTTAGTCATCGATCGAAATAAATAGTAATCAGAAGACGCAATGTCTAGAGAGTACGGCGGGTGGGGTAGGACTTCCCATTTTAGCGTTTCTAGGTATGTTTTGATCGGTGACGCGACATGCGGCCGAGCGTTATCATACAGCAAAATCACCTTATCGTGTCTTTGCTCATATTGCGGCCGTTTTTCTTTCAATGCTCGGCTCAAACGCATCAATTGTCGTCGATAGAGATCTCCTGTGATGGTTTGGTTGAGTTGGAGCAGCTCGTAATACACTACCCCCAGCTGATCCCACCAAATGCAGAGCATGAGCTTGGAACCGTGGATATTCCGCTTTGGCGTTGATGCTACTGCTTCGCCGGGCTTAACCCACGATTTTTTACGCTTGGGATTACTGTAGTATATCCACTTTTCATCACCAGTCACAATACGATGTAAGAAACCTTTCCTTTTTTGTCGTTGAAGCAGCTGTTCACACGTGACAAGACGCCGTTCGACTTCTCTCGGCTTCAGTTCGTATGGCACCCAAGATCCTTCCTTTTGTATCATTCCTAATGCTGTCAGACGTTTCGAAACTATTGTTCGATCAACTCCTAATGATTTTGCAACATCGGATTGCATCTGACATGGATCTTCAGCAAGTAATGTTTCCCATTCTTCGTCTTGAAACTTTTTTGGTGTACAACTGCGTTCTCTATCTTGAACATCAAAATCATCACCATTTTTAAATCGGTTAAACCAATCTCTGCATGTTCTTTCCGACAGAGCATGATCACCATAGGTTTCTACAAGAATTCTGTGTGCTTCAGCTGCAGATTTCTTCTGAATAAAGTAGTGCAGTAAAATTCCCCGCAAAAACGGTTTATTTGGTACAAAATTTGACATGTTTTACACTACGAAAAGAAAATGTTCTTTATAGGTTAATGAAAAGACACGCACTGATTTTAAACATAGGTTATAGAACTTCAATATAGATGCGTCATCATCTTGAATTGTACACACAAAATTTTTATACCGCCATCTGATGGTGAAACGGCGAGAACTTATTCACACTCTCAATATTTCACAATATATTTCACAATAATTCAAAGATTTTTATATTTACTGAAACATATATTTGATAACGATATTAAAACATATACCTGATACTTGATTTAACATATACCTAGGTTTCTTCTGTCATATTTTTCATAATTTAACAATCAAATTTACTAAATGGTTTACTTTTATCAGGAAAAGAGTGAAACCGTTCTGTACATGAAGAAACATGAGATACACGATATCTAGGTTGAGATATAACATCATCTCTTTGCATTTTGATACGTGGTGGCTTTGAAATTCCTACATCTGTTCAACGCATAAGAATTGGCGAAAATAATCATCTGTTTCTCGTACGTCTGTAGTTTACGTAGCATTTGTTTTTCTGTTACACTCAGAGATCGTAGTCTTGATCCAATCAATTGAAGTTATCTCTGTTAAAAATTGTTTCATGTATCCGCAAAAATCTGCATTTGTTGTGTAAAGTGCCGCACGCTGTGTATATCTTTACAGTAACAGATCTTATAAGTTTTCACAGATTGCACAATATGAAATTCTCAGCGTTTACCTTTTTGCAAACGTGACAAATTTTAACATGAGAGAAACTATTATAATTACCAAGGATGTTTGACATATCAATTTCTACCATTCTAGAGGTCTCATAGTGATAAATTTTATTTAATCAATAATTTATGTGTATCATCAATTTAAAAATAAATTATTTTTGTGCCAATGTGCTAGTTAAAATCAACGGACAGTGTCTAATCCGTGATAAAAATATGCTCCGCGAACATGTCCAGTCATTACTAAAATCTGCTTGAAACTCCATAAATACTCCACGAATATATATAACCGTTACACTAAATAGAATGTCACAAATAAGCTCATATGATATATTTATAAGTTTTTATCACATGTAAATAGTAAAACAAAAAAAAACACAACAAAGAGGAGAAAGTTGCGAGTTTTGAAACTATTGTTAATACATTGAGAAAGTGAGAATTTGAATTATTTTTGTTTTAGGTATGTGTTACTGATGAATATACCTACAAACTACCCAATTATATTCGCACTCTAAGTAAGGCGCAATAGTATATGAAAGAATTTGTATTATGTTAAATATTGAATTATATTAAAACTTCTCTGAGTTAACTTTATATAGATATCATTATAGGAAACTTTTATACAAGCTAAGTAAAAGATGTTTTACAATTTAATCTAAAATTTTATTATTCTACAGCTCAGTAAGATTACGAAACTATAATAACCAATACAATGTCGAAAAAAGTTATTACGTAGTATTATATTCAATTTTCCTTATAACATTTTTTTGTATCTACTTTATACTTTTCTATGTACTTGTTTTAATTATAGAAGATGATAAACTATATTCCACTAAATATTATCTGTCTATTATGGTGAATCACTTAATATTATGTTGAATGTAACATTTATTAGGCCTTTTTAATTTAATTTATGGTAAGCCAAATTTTTTTCCTATACAGTTCATAAAGCACTGTTGCTCTGATATTTCCACATCAGAATATTGATTCTTAATTAAAGATAACATCTACTGTTAAAGCATTGTGTGATCGTGTTGCAACGCTCATAAATTTTAACTTTCCGTTTATTACGCAAATGAAATGTGCAACAATATACACTATTTTAACACGTTTCAAGACAATTTTTAATAATCCAAATATGCATTCTTTTTACTGTAATATTTGCATCTTATTTTTTAAAATCATATTTTTAAACTGTAACTTTCCTACTCAGATTAAACGTACTATTTTAAGAAGTTTCTATGTATCTAATATATTTGTATATTATTATCTGTGACTATTATAAGTAAAAAACATCGCAAGTACAATGAAAAATGCCTTTTATTAAAAATATTCATAATTTGTTTTTACAAATAACACATATTTTATATCATATATAGTAATGTTATCAACGGAATGCTAAAATTGTATACAAATATTCCAAATCGTTTAGTAAGGTCTCCATAAAACAAATGTGTTACGATAGACAGTTACATAATCATTACGAAAATATACAGAACCAGTCTCCAAATCCCTCCATGGCCTCCAAGATCTAAAAGGATTTTTAGCATTATAGAGAGGTTGTAAATGCGAACCTAAAATTTGTTTTAAAATAGACACGTTCTGTTGTGCTTTTTCTTCCGATGTGGTAGTTAAAATTAACGGACAGTGTCTCATCCGTGATAAAAATATGCTCCGCGAACATGTCCACTCATTACTAAAATCTGCTTGAAATTCTATAATTATATCTGGTTCTCTAAAGGACGAACTAGCTACATACATATGATAAAATGTATGATAAATTTCAACATGAATCATTACATTCCTTTCCTTGCATAGAGAACAAAGTTCTATGTCATAATGATCCTTCTCAAAATTTGGTCCTACTAGTACAATTGTTAGGTCCTTTATGTTACGTAAAAGATGTAAAAGGATTTCCCAAGCATTTAAATATTCTCCTTCTAAAACATTTAATGCTACCATGTGCATGACATATTCAGTTTTAAATTTTTGATGTGGATATAAACTAGCATTCATTATTCCATAAAAGAATGTTAACGGACTTGACACATAATCACAGTATAAATATTTAGAATTCATTGCATCTATAACGTTTTTTTGTTCGTCAGGACGCACATATAATGTAATAAATGTCTTCATGTCATTAATAAATTCTGTCCCAGGAAAATCAACAAATTTTTTCACATAAGAGAATTTACATATAAGAGCACCGATATTAATGTTGATATACAATATAAACAGTTGGCATTTTTGGTTATGCAAACCTTGAAATATCTGTATATGGTCAATGCAATAATATTCCGAATAACACGTTTTGCAATGTACCAAATTAATCTGTCTATGACAAATAGAGCATGATTTTTCAAAAAGAATCATCTGTTCTTCATACGGCTTTAGCTTACGTGGAATCCATTTTTTAATTGTGCTTAGAAATTGTTGTCTCCAATCAATCCAATCAGATAAACTTAAAGCACAGTCTCGGTATATTTTATTTTCTTGTAAAAATCGGTTTATATATTCACAAATCTGCATATGTTGTGGACGATGCCACAATCTGTGTTCATGACTGCAATAAGAGATCATATCGCACAGACTACATGATATAAAAGATCCATTGTTTAGTTTCTTGCAGACGTGGCAAATGTTTTCGTGAAAAAAGCTATTAATATTATTAATAGGTAAACGGAATTCGTTCACATCAATTACTTTAGAAAAATAACTCATGGATTATTTTGTTTGACGTATAATATCAATTTAAAAATGAAGTGTAGAACGTGTAATTTCTTGTAATAGAAATAATGTAGTTGTCTGTTCACAGTAGATTTATAACTGAGCTGTTCACAATTCAAATCTATAGCAGATGACTGTAGAGACAACTTTAAATAGTCTTCTGGTTCGCTAGTTAATATTGACAAACTGATTTGGGTATTTGAAAATGTAACGAAATACGAATAACCGTTATTGAATAGAATATTGTGCGCATAGTAATAGGCGCGCATGGGATCCTTATCAATTTTTATTACATGTAACTTGTGTATATTGGAAAAAAAATATGTATATAATACCGTAAAAATTGATAATTGTACGTTAAGTTAATTAATAAATTACAAATCTAAACTGGCTTAATTTGGATATTGATATATTTTATATAGACCAAGTGTATGACGCCTCACAATAGAACACAAAACTTTATAATCTTATTCTGGAAATTAAGGCGAACAGTAAATCCTAATAACAAATATAATATCGTAATGTCGTAAAGTATATTTTTTTTATTGCTGTTTCCAATATTTTGTATATTTTTGTGTATATGTTTTCAGTTAGGATTCCGATTAATCATAATCCATTAGATATTAATTATTAAGTGTAATTCTTTAATATATTTAACTTGTAAATTAGTTGATAAAGACTAGATCTTTTAAACCAACTTTTTTCTTTTTATAACAACTCGCATGGTACTTGTACCTTAACTTTTTCAATATTTCCGCTTCCAAAGAAAATCTAACATATGTTATTAAAATATTAGGTAATGGTTTTGTGATATTGCAGATATTATAATATTTCAATTTTTTTAAATATTATATTTTGAACTTTTTCTAATAATTATATAAATTATATACACGAAAGATAGATCAAGGATTTTGAAGGAAGACATGTATCAAGGTAATTCTTATGTACATATTATTCGAATATTTTGTTTATATTTACTAAGGTATATATATGCGCCGTATTTCCAAAAACTATATGTTTAAACTGTTTCTTCAATAGTAAAATTACATTAAAATGCCATTTTTTCAGTTTTCTATGGATGTAGAGTATTCATTTATTATTATCTGTACTGTTTAAATAAAAACAGTGACAAGTACAATGTCTACAGATAAACGTAAAACATATTTTACAACAAACATGTTATGTTCTGCTTTTATTACTGAATGTGTGTACCCTTACGGAAAAAAAACCATAAGAAAAAATTATCTATTTGTCTACGGCGTTACAGTCCTCAAAAGGACCTTAGCCTCAGAGAGAAGTTTCCTCCACTCCACTGTCTCCCTGTCTCCAGCCCTCGCCCTCCAATTGCGCATTCCTAGTTTATTAATATTCTCCATCACTGCGCACCACCATCGGTGTCTAGGTCTTCCCCTCGGTCTTTTGCCTTCTGTGGAGTTTTCGAAGACCCTCCTACATGGGTTGTTTTCCTTCATTTTGCTGACATGTCGCAGCCATCTCAATCTACTCATTTTAAAACATGTGACTATATCTAAGTTTACGTAGAAATGATACAGCTCTGCGTTCTTCCTTCTTGTCGTTTTCCCCTAGTTTCCTTGCGCCTAGAATTCTTCTTAGAATCTTCCTTTCAAAACGTTCAAAGCAGACATTTAGCATTTCCTGTTTTTAGGATCCATGTTTCTGAACTGTATGTGATGGTTGGTCTTATCAGTGTTTTGTAAATTCTTATTTTAGTGGCTCTGGACAAATCTTTGGATTTTAATAGCCTTGCTACTCCAAAATAAGCTTTGTTAACAATCCTTAATCTTCCTTTGATGTCCGATGTTTCATCGGATCTTAAGAACACTCAAAATGAAAGTTCAACTGAAAGCTAGCAAGGATTTAGAAGTATATATTTGTTGTCAATATTGCCACTGTAAACAAAATGTACCACTTGGGAGGTAGAGGCGTAAGAACTCCTTTTGTCATTCTAGAACTTCCTTATATCTGTATATTTATTGTACAGGATATCTAACGATTCCATGTACTTATTTCGTGTACGTATAGATTTATTTTAACGTTATAGATTGTTACATACATAAATAATTTATTTTGTTTTATACGCTTGTATTCAATGCGGGCAAATTATTATATATCTAACGTTTCCTCTAAACGTCGTATTTTATAAACATCAACGATGTATCTAGCTGATAACCTCGGAGTTCTAACAAGACGCGTGTCATTGAAATTAACTCGGAAAAGTCCGTATTTTTGCCTGCAAAAATATAAACAACGTGATTGCTTATTATCGTACAAATATAAATTTAGCATTCCATCCTGAGAGAAAAATTCAAATAATAATCCCATAATGATCTTACTTATAACCATATTGGCATTGGAAGTTGTCCAGCAGCGACCATAACAAGTAACCTCGTATGTCTGCGTCTTTCTGTATTGCTTTTAATACTTCAGCGAGGTGTCCTTGCAAGTACGTTATTTTAACCTTGTCCACCAAACCGGATTCGGGAAAGCCGTTTTCAGTTATGTAAATCATGAGATGATAATCCTTGTTCAAGCACTGTATTGCCTTGGCAAATACCCGCGGTGCGTTATAATAGGAATTTTAAGTCAATAGAGTTCGTTAAAATGCGAAAAGCATATTTTTCGTTAGGAAGTTAATCCTTTGAGTACTGACGCATCTATGCAAGTTCGCTGTGAACACTGGTACACTTCTAAAAGCTTTCATTTGCATACTCGCTCTCTTAGCTTGTTGATAATAATTCCACTCATAGACTTTTCCGAGTCGAAATTTTGATCCTACTTTCAACTTCAATATTCCATTTAAAGCTTATTTAATACTTTGAAGTCCATATCGATTTCTTTTGATTCTATTTAGCCTACTAACCTATAAAGCAACACTTCAGTTTCGATATGTATTAAATATACATTGATCTTTCAAAATACAGAGCTGTTGGAAAGTTCAAGACAAAATAGAGCTAAAATTTCTCTCCAGCTTGTTACTTTAAGTTTAGAAATTATTTGTAATTAAATCTAATTTGTTTCTATTCTACCTGATATCATTATAGTCAAAATGACAATATTATCAATTTTATCGAGTTCTGATCCGATGAAAAATTTTTCGTGCATAATTATATATAAAATTTATTCTTACATAATTATGTATAATTATATATAACCATATAAAATTATATATAATTATATATAGTTATGTATAATTATATGTACAATTATATATAATTGTATGCGTAATTATGTAAAATTATATATGAAATTATATATATAATTATATATAATTATATATAAGTAACATGTAATAACATGTATGGACAAATTTCATACATAATTACATATAATAATGTAAAATTATATATAATTTTATATAATTTTACATAATTATGTATACGAAATTTTTTATTGGGGACTACACAAAGCATTTTTTCTTACGCTTAAAGGATAAAAAATACATCTATCTGTATATATTTCTGCATCTATTTAAATTTTACCAAGCGTTTATTAAGAAATAATTAAGAAAGTTCGGAATAATTCCAATTTTGCTAAACAGCATAATAGAAATTTATGAAATAACAGAATTATTCCAAGGAGAAATCCCTCCAAACTAATAATTATAATAATATATAACAGAACCACCCAGATTAGATATACTATAAAAAATATTTCATGATAAAATCTAATAATTTTTATTGAAATCTATCTAATCTTTGGGTAGCAATTATTGTGTTAAATTTTTAATATATATTAATTTAACATATTGTCGTTGGGTAATTTTTACAATTTTGCGCTCAATTCATATTCACCTTTTCTAAGTATTAAAATAACAAAATTTATATGTAAATGTACGAATTCTTGGTGACATGTTTTATATGTAAAACAAGTAAGTAGATGTGTACAAAAAGTTGTGTTATTGTGCCAATTTGTTTGATTTGTTGTTAAATTATCCAAAAAATTGGATAAATTAGAACAAATGAAATGTTAAATTTAATATAAAATGAATGTTAAATTTAATACAAAATTTTTGCAGTGTATTAAAAAGAGACACATAGAAGAGAAAAGTAGATTTCTACCTGAGGTTGGACCTCTTCCGTCGCTTGCACGTCCACATCATGGGCATAAGACACGTCGGTAATTCCACTGGCTTAGCGCTGGTTTAGCGCTTTTAGTATTGAGTACGTATAATAATTTATCCCAAGGAAATCCGCTGAGCCGCGCACGTAGCGAATTTGTTCTTTCGTGAAGCTCGGTAGACACGACTTGGCGAAACCTTGTACGCGACTGTAGTTAGCTATCCGTTCCTTCATGATGCGCAAATAATCGCCGTCGCTGCTGAATATCGGATCGGGAAAGTCATTGGTAAACCACTTATTGTCGGTTTCCACTGCGATCACATCTTCCTGTGACGAGGGGTCCTCTGGTAAGGAACACCCACCATTAACTGAGTAACCCACTTTACCTAAACAGCCGTAAATACAATTATTTAGATGTTCTCTAAGCAGAGTTAGGAATGCGTTAATTGTAACACTATTAACGTTAGAAATGCTTTTATTAGTGAGAACTTGATAACGAAGTTATTTTTTCTTATTAGTAATGGTAATGGTAATGCAAATACAGGGTGCGACGCCAAAATCCGGACAAATTATATATTTTTTCCAAACATATTTTTTATTGCAAAAACGAAAAGGTTTACAAAATTTTTTTAACCACATTGTTTGTAAGGCCATAAAGAACACATTTACTCAATATATCCCCCGCTTGCTTGAATGACCGCCTCCATTCTCGGTCTGAAGCGTGCGCAGACCGCTTTATACTCCGCACTTGGTTTCAACATTGCGACTGTTTCGAGATTATGATGGTTTAGTACATGCGTCAAGCTATTTGAACGCTAATCGTGACATCTACTAGTGATATAGAACTGCGAGAATTTCAAATTAAATTTTGTCCGAATTTTGGCGCCGCACCCTGTATATTTTATGAGTAATGGCAACAAATATAATTGTTACTTCTATTGTTATTAGATACATGTACGTGGAATAGGCGGCAACGAAATATAAAGGGGAGGCTTTAGAAACATATTAAAAAAGATATAAGAGATAGTAACGACTTATTACTTTTTCAGTAAAGATAATGGTAAATCTATCATAAGTTCATCATAAGCA